CTTTGGGGGTCCGGAGGGACTTGAAAAGCGCTCTATAAGTTCAGTACCATTTACCATTTACCCTTCTCTTCAGTTCATTCCTCGCTGGATCATTACATGGATTACTCCTACTGTTTTGTTGTCCTCGTTGTCCCTCAGAGTTTTAGTTTTATTTTAGCTTCCCTGACAGCTCTTTGTTTTGTTTGTTTAAATAAATCTTTTTATTTAAATCTCATCCTCCGTCCGGATTTGGGTTCATTCTGCACCTCAACCTAACAGCATGTTGACATGGTTAAATTCATTCCAGACTTAGCTCATTAACAGCAATACAAAACCTCATTTTCTTGGCTGTGGGTGCTCAGAACCAGCACAAAGTTATTTATTGTCTCACAGTGATGTTTATTCTGTGCCGCACTGATTTTAAACAATGAGAGGTTTAGAACATACACGCATGTAGGGAAAATGTTGTCAATTATTGAAAAGTTGTTAAATTCTAAGTTCTCGTAACTCATTAGCAAGAAAGCGGGGCACCACCTGTGGATCACAGGAAATTAATCTTGTAATTTTTCTCAATCTCACTTACTGAAGAGCGAATTCTTTCAGTTTAGATGGCAAACCGAGTAAATAAATGCGCACACGAGCATGAAAATTTCATAATATACCCTGTATTAGTGATTCAGAGGTAACAATACAGACAGATTATTTGAGCAAACAGGAACACCATTATTATCACGACCTTGTGGTTTAATAATAACGTGGCATCCTCACCCTATAATCACCTCTAGCGTTATTCAAACTGAACCACATCTAACTAGTTCTACACTAGCAAAATAAATGAAAGCTTAAAGTACAATTAAGTAATTGTTATAAAGGTGAACTATAAAGAGACCAAGTTATGTGGGAAGAACATGACTTGCATTAATTCTAAATTGATTATAATTCATATTACAGAGCACACGCACACACAAGCTGCCGTGGAGTTCAGCGTGGCTTACCGGAGCAGTCTTCAGACCTCTTGGGTACTTTATAACAGTTTTAGGTCAACAGCCTTGTCTTACCTCTGGTTGACTGTTCACCCTGGACTGGCAGACAAAGTCCCGTTTAGATAATCTGGTGCTCCGATGGTGGCAAAGCTTCAGCTCACGCGACAGTCGACACACTTCACAGCTCGGCTGGGTCCTGACTTTATGAATGAATGCCAATTTAGAATGCTGCGCAACTTTGCGTCCTCCCAATAACTCCGTCAAAAGTACAAAAAGAAAAATAAAGAAACAAATAAAAAATTAAAATAAAATGTCCCCAAAGGGGAAAAATGGAGCTTGGACTCCAGTCCTCTCTCGCTTGTCCTCTTTTCAACTCTCCTCAGAACTCTAACTAAAACTAACTAGAACTGTGATCTATTGTCCTGACTGTACACTCAGGATTGGCTGAAAACAGTCACATGATCTATCTTTCTTTTCACAGTCCCTGCTAAATTGATTAAACACACAGAATGATAGATTACCTGTGAAGTAATTAAAAACAGGGCATTATTACAATGATTGAATCATGATAAAAAACAATGTTTTTTTTCTTTTTTCAGAGGACAAACAGAATGACATTTGTTCATGATGGAATTATGAGACCAGCCTTTTGGGGGTGCTCTAAAACCATAAATGAGATGGTATGCAATTGTGTCTTTTGAAGTTTGCCTGGGGGCAATATCCCAGCAGGAGACCGGGTCTGAAAAGGGGTTTGTGGATGGCAAATCCACTTTTGGGAGACTTTCAGTCTGGAAAAAGTGTGAGTCCTTTGTGATAAACGGCCATTTTGAGTACTTGAAAGAGGTCTCACACAATGCTTAATCAATTGGAG